GCAGCCCGGCCCCCAGTCCCTGAAAGGCCTTTGGAGTGGCGCTTGATGCTCGGAGCATCGTGCAAAAAGTATTTTGGAGCAGGTGTATTTTTGTCGTCTTTAAGCCTCCTCACGGTTTAGTTCTGTGGGTTTCCTGGCTCTGTGCGGCCAGCACGATTTCTGCTTTCCAGCCCTGTGGAACCAATACTCAGGCTCTTATATTCACACTGAGACCTGAAGTAGTTACCCTTACATACCTTTGAATATACGACCGATACAGGGATTTCATTTTCAATTAATTGTAATAGCGGGAGGGGGAAAGAATAATCCTAGGCTATTCTATTAGGCATTTCCTGGCTTACGATGAAAAGTGAACTTCTTACCAGTTTTCCAGTAAAGGAATTGTCAGTATCTTAAATAAGTGTGTTGAAAGAGGAGTCGTTCTTACCTTCTTGACTTGTTTATTCATTTTTGTTCTTGAGAGCCAATACCAAAGGCCACTGTATACAGCAGGAGAAACCATGGAGCACCAATTAATAATGGCCTACTCCAGCCCTTTGCTTAATTCCATATTCACAGTAGTGTGATAAAGGGATCTTTGTGCAGATACAGGAACATACCAGAAAATTCCATCAGGCAAACCTGAAATTTACACTGTTAAACTGATAAGGGGAAGGCGTCACTCCATATAGTGACATTTCTTAGACCAAGGCACTCCCATCTCTCGAAATACCAGTCAAAGGCATTTTTATTTTTTTTCTAGGTAGAACAATGCTTGAAGCGCCTATGGAAAATGAACTTGGTGGGCTGCATTGAAACTCTGGCAGAACTGATTCCCAAGTAAGTGTCATGATCTCATATGTTATGCTATCCATTAACACAGTCTTCAGAGCTAAGCGAGTGGAATGCTAGATCATAACCATCTCCTCATCCTTGTATCAACACAGGAGAAACACATCCCAAGCCCATGCAGAGTGCTTAGTTCCCAGCCAGCCTGTGCTGGAAACGGTGGCCCTGAAGGTATTGGGAGGTTGCAAGCTCATAGTACGTCTGCTGGACTGTTGCTGTAAAGCTTTTCTGTATCCTTTTTTAACCATGAAAACACACTTAGAGTTCACCCGCAGCGCCTCAGGAGACCAAAACTAGGTCTGCTGTAGGCCAGCATGGACTCAACTGTGCAATTCATACATGCAACTTCAAGTTTCTTGGATAGCCAAACATCTTATTTTCAAGTTATTGTGTAGGAACCACAGGCTGTTGGCTGGCTGCTGTTCTGGCCTTGAGCAACCCAAGGCTTGGATACTCATCTCCCAAATTATCCAGGATATTGCCTTGTGAAGCACCTGTGTAGTTGATGTGTTCAGCAAGTCTCATTACATGGTGTTTATTCTTTATCCTTAACTGGCATAATCTTAAGCTTGTCCGTTAAACATCTCTGCTCGGAAGAATTCATCCTTTTGAACACTGTGGCTTCGGGGTTGTTGAGCCGGCTATGGTTTGTGTACTCAAAAGTCTGTCTTTTTTGTTGTCTGTCTGTTTGATGTGCCTGTCGGGGAGAACGGCTTGTAATTAGGCCTCGCTGTTTTGAGTGAGCTTTATTCAGTTGGGAGGAGGACAAGGGGGGGGTCCCTCTATGCTTTTGAACTTGATTCTAGCACCTGAAGACTTGTGTAAGTGGAGAGAGACTTCTTACATGCTGTTATGGAAGGCTTTGTTCTCGGTTCATAGCAAACTTTATGCAGCACTCATAAAACTGCAGTGTTAATGCCAGCCTGCCACGAACACTAACATTGGTACTCTGCAGCAAGCAGCAGGTTCTGCCTCGTGCTGAAATGGAAAGGCTGGGATAAAGTCATTCTATAATACTTCTGAGTTTTCCAGAGAAATCCGTGTTCTGGTCTCAGTATGAGAAAGTAACTGCTGTCTGTAGCTGAAGGCATTGTGCGGAAGAACTCAGTAAAATGTTCTTTGGCACAAGAAATCTGTCTCCCCAGTAAACACAGAGCAGGCAGTTGTATGGCATCAGTGCTAGCACCATTGTCCTGCATTAGTACAGGTCGCTTTTGGAGGAAGACCTCATGGCAAATGATTTGGAAGTGACCTGAGAACCTGATGAGTCCCAGGTGTGGCACTCAGAAAAGCTCTAGGGAGGCAGAGGGGCTCCTGATCAGGGATTTACTAGTCAAGTCACCCCTATATTCTGATCTTGAACAGTTCCTTAAAGCTCAGACTAGTATTAAGGAAAGTGTGGTGGTGGGGTGTAAAAGGATAAGCTTGTATTGAGGGGGAACAGGGAAAGGGCAGCTTGGAATCTCTTCCATCAGCTCTTCCACTTGAGCTGAAGGTAGTTGTTCAGTGAGCACAAGGTTTTGCTAGAGGAGACTCCGTACCGTTCTGCCTTCTCTCTTCAGGATTCAGTACAGGTGTGTATTGCAGAGCCTCATGTCCTTGTATGGCATGTTGTCGACATCACTTCACCTGGTATCTGAGACCCAACAGATGCCTTATATCAAGGGGTTTACCTTCCCTTCTGATATCCGTAACTTCCTTGGAGTTAACATCTCTTCTGAGGTGAAGAAGCAAAAGGCTAGAATGCTTACGACAAAAAAACCTACCAACTGGCTGAAGAAGCACTTCTCAACAAGGCCAGAGGTTGGGAAAAAGAGAAACTTTGTGACCTGCATGAGTGCTGTGAAAAAACATAGCATCCCGTGCCCTGTGGACATCGGAGAGCCAGTTCTGGTGACCAGAGCCAGCAGAGGTAAAGCCTTGTGCCACAGTGCTACTGGTTTCTGACATCCTGGACACTGACCGCAGCTTCTGTCCAACAGAGCCAAGCGCTTGTACTACCCACAGAGTGCGGTTCTAGCCCTAACTCCCCTCTGCTGTCCTTGGAAGAGGACGAGAATGCTGCATGTACCCTTGCATTTATAAACCTGCGGATAATGTCAGTATTGCAAGGTTGGGTTTTTTTAAATGTGATACAGCCTGGAAAGAAGCGGGTAATGAATGCAGTATACAGGTCCTGTAAAGTGTTATTTGTATTTTCCTGCTTCTGCATAGGCAGGGCGCAGGGGCAGTGGGGGAAGCTAAGAGCACTGCCTGCAGTCCACACAAGAGTAAGTAAGGTTGCAGGTACAGGATGCAGATACCCTGTGCTTGCTGGTTCTGGGCTGTGCCCAAGTCTTCTCCTGTAGTCAGGGCCATGGCCAGTGACAGCAGGCATCCAGCTGTCTGCATGAAGCTTTTACGCATTAAGTTCTCCTTTGCAGCCATCTGTAAATCTCTGCATCCTCTTCATCCCTTGCCAGCTGCCACATGAGTTGAGGGTAGTGCCCTTGAGTTTGCCTGGAAATGCTGAGCACAGGTGTGAGCCTGCTGAGACAGCAGGAGAGCTGAGAGCTCAGCAGGGCAAAGCGGCGTGGTGTTTCTGCGCAAAGGCTTAAAGCTGTCTTTAGTTCGTAATGGGAACCCTCCTCTCTCTTTGTAGGGAAGCACCTGGGATCTGATCTGAAGAGCTTGCTTAGACCATCCAGACCTCCAACACAAGAGGTTTCTATAGTACCATTTTACACTTTTTTTTTTTTTTTTTTTAACTTTAAAGACCCTAACACTCAGAACATGATATCCCTGATTGGAAATGTTCCCTTTCCCTGCCTTATTTTTGCTTGTCTAGCAACCCAAGTTAGCCTGGAAGCTTTGCACTGAAAATCACTACTAATTTCTGCTTAGGAATTTGATCATTTGTTGGTATGTCAAGTGAAATGACCAGAGAGCAAGTCAGTAGTAGACAGGAATACAAATTCTAATTATCTGCCTCTTCTTTTTGTATTCCACAAAACAAGACTGCTGTCCCACTTTCTTCTTGGGAAATGAGGAATGTTCTCACAACCACTTCAGTGCTCTGCTCCAGCAGAAAGGATCAGGCACGTCATGATTTTAAGAGGCTGTTTCTGTTATTCTTTGTTTCAGGGTATAAGTATTGCATCCACACCTTTTAAAGCAAAGCTGGCATCCCATTCCTCTTGTATAGCAAAATGGCAGCACACTGAATCTCTTGTACAGATGGTCCAAAGAGCTGCGTCGTTTGGGGAACTGTCAGAGGCACTCAGAAAAGCTATTCTGTGGTGCAAAGGCAATAAATTCAAATCAGCAGTTTATTTTCTGCGTAACAAGTTGTTGAAAAGCAACCGGCTGCACCACGTGGAGGCTCAAGGATGCAGGTAATTTTGCATGGCTGTGGGGTTTCTGGATCTGACACTTTACACTTTAGTATTATGTATTTTGCTACAATGTAGAGAAATGCAGTGGTCTGACCCATTCTTTTTAAACTCCAGTGGGATCACCAGTTCAGGTTACTAGACGCTCTGACATGAACATTCTTTTTAGCGTCAGGTTTTTCTGAAAGGATTTTAAAGGCTAACAAATGGACAAATACTTAAGAGGGAGGATGAAAATGCAACTTAAATCATGTGCATGCTTAATGGCAACGATTATATGATGCAAGGGGTGTTGTCTTTCTTCAGAATGCCCTGCCTACTATTGTACAAGGTGCTGTTTTATCTCCTTGGTATAACAAGGAAAACGCTAGAGATGGCAAATAACCAAATCTCTCCAAACCCCAAATGAAAGAATGCTTTAGCAGCTGATAAAGTTATGTTTTGTGCACCTTCCTCCCCTTAAGCTTGAAGAAAAAACTGCGCTGTGTCAAAACATCCATCCGTAAATACCTCCTACACGGGGCACAAAATGCACACTGGCCAAAGCAGTACCGTGGGGCACGGCTCTGTCGGAGGAGGATCAGATCATCCACATGCTTCAAGAGAACCCTAAAGACTGTTCAGCAAAAACCTTTGGAGCTTTTTGGGGTCTGTGAGAACAATGCATCACCCATCCTCCCAGTTTACCAGGATGGGCCTCCGAGGTGGGAAGGACGTTCCAATGCTGATACAGGCCATGTCAAACTAAGCACAGCAGGGCCCCCTAAGCAGCTGCTGGAAGGAAGCTCTGGCCCTGTGTGGAAAGAAGCTTCTGAGAACATGGATATTGATTCTATTTTTGCAGCAATGGGTGTCTGACCCTGGACTTGCAAGGAGGAAAGGGGTCAAGTCATTCCAATTTATTATTTATTTTTTTAAAATAAAATTCTCAGAATGGTGTCTGGTATCTAATGGTGTCTTGGTAACTCACACCCTGAATTCTGCTAAGAAACTAGCAACTATTTTACTATGTTTTTATAAAACAGCTTTTTTTTTAATGAAAGGATGTTCCAAACACCTGACTAGTCTTCATCCTTTAACCTAGCCTTGTCCAGGGACAGTGATTTTGAATTACCCTTATTCAGAGTCACTTCTCTATTGCTCAACCACCTGTGAAGTGCTGCTGTCAAATCCACAGTGTAGATAGTTACCATCCACGCTGCAGCTGATCACTTACTGCTGCTTAGGACAAAAGCCTCACTGTCCCTTTTCCAAGGAAGCAGCCTTATACCCTTCCTTCTGTGCTCTTTGTACAGGGGATAGCCTTGACTTGCAGTATTACTGCTGTTCAGCAGTTGTTAGCCTTGTCCTGAAATGAGGAGTTAACTGAACCTACTGCTCCAGAAATAGGGAAAAACAGCTGTGGTCTGCAACAGTAAACTCCTGATTGGTGAACATGTTTCTCACTGTTCTGAAATCTTTTTAATGTAAGTGCAATTTCTGCCTGCTTGGCAATGTAAGGTGCAGCAGCTCCAACACTTACATGTCAGAACAAGCAGTGGGGTTAGTGCTTTCTGCCAGGCTTATAAGTCCCAAGATCAGGATCACCAGGAAATACTAAAATTTGTCTCCAAATGAAGAGCAAATCTGCTTTATTGTAGAGCACCTGCCTAAGAGGGTAAGGAAAGGCTGTAAGTGCAAGTAAATCTGGAATGGATTAACTTCCATTTCCTAGGCTTGGTATTGATAGAAAACAAGAGCTGTGCCTGCTGGGACAGGAGAAAAAGATAACCTTCCTAGCCAATTAAGTGCTAAAACCCCTGTATTATGTACCTTGTGTGAACTGATCAATATAAGTTTAGTTACAAGGACTGGGCACAAACTTAAAATGTTTTATTCAAAGAGCGTATACAGAGCAAACATCAGGACTTCTGTAGTAGTTTGGGCTTGAAAACTGTCCAGTTAACCAAGATCGATTTTCTAGGTTTCCTGTCACAGGAATACCCAGTGATAACTGAAATAGTTGTAGAGAATTACCCCTCAGTAGCCCTCTAGATACCTCGTTCAACACAGTCTTATTTCAGACTTCCTGCCGTTACAAGAATCTTTAGAGCTCTTTTCTCATTTCATAAAATGGTATAAAAAGACCTAAGTATGCCACATACCATCAGATAACATTCAGCTGCTTGAATATTTCTCAGAAAAGGCTGGGAGCGAGGGCAGACATCCCAGCAGTGACCTCCATCCCGAATAACTCCTCGAAACAACACATATGATGTTCCTTCCTTTTGGGCAGCAAATACCTAAGTAATGTCCCAGTGCAGCTCATTTACACTCAAGATCCATAGTTTGCTTCATCAAAGGCCTTTCTGGCTCGTTTCAGTTCTTCATTCATAGTTAGGAGGTCTTTAACTCTGGCAAACTTCCGGGGGTCCTTGCGTATTAGAAAGACAATGTCCTCAACCTGTACACGACCCTGCCGCCCAATTGACATGGCCTTGTGTGTCTGTTAGAGGAAAAGAGAAAAGTCAGCAGGGTTCCTTTGTCCCTTAAAAAACAAAACCCAAAGATCTTAATTCCACTTTTCTGTCATTTTATAATCAAAAAGTAAGTAATTGCAAGATGTAGGTACCATCATCCTAGGTCACAAGAGAACCTCCCAGTAAAGCCTGGGCTTACTGTTGTTCTGCTGTCCCCAGCTGCCTGTTGCTTACACTCAGCACATACCACTATATACACGTAACAGTAATGGCATCAAAACTAAAGACAGATTACATGTAGGACACCCAACCTGCAGTGTACTTGAAGATGAACAAAACTTGGAAGCAACGTGAAGTAACTGTCACAGGACAGTTTAGGGCATTTTAATGAGGGGAGGCAAGGCCAACCTTTCAAAAGAAAGGGGTCCACAAACAGTAGGAATAACTTTTTTCAAAAAAAAAACCCACAAAACAAATTATCAAACAGTATCCAAATATCTAGAAGAGTGATGGCTTCAGGCTCCAGAAGCTTACACTTCTTTTGTAGTGCAGAGCTACATTCCCATCTGTGTAGAGACACTGGGAGAACACAAAAAAATTGATAAGACTTTCAAAGCTGAGCCTTGTCTTTTGTCAGCTGCACATATAGTGATGCCACAGTGAACCCCAAAGTCATCCATGTATTCCCCTGCCCCCCGCCCCAATACTAATCTGACTGCTACTTAAGGACTTCAGACAGTGTTCAAAATACACGTGGAATAAGATGCATGAATTTTGCCTTAATCTTGGAAGAACAAAGTCTGAGTTTAGCTTTTTCCTACTAGCATCAGACTTTCAGGCCTGGAATAACGCAGTATTTGAAACAGAGGTATTAACTGTCAGAAGACTAAATTCTTAGTGAGGATGTTTTGACGATGCTGTCTAGAGATGACTTACCATTTCCGTGATAAACTCTATTACCAGGTCTTCAAGAATGTCCACTGATTCTGTGTAAGGGTTCTGGTCATCTCCAAAACCATACATCATGCATCTTACTGCAGAAAGAAACAGCGTGAGGCTTCTTTCACCCATTCAGCGCTGTCGGCAGCATGCATCTAGTTAGAGCTGACCAGCCTACACATTCATGCAGCAGGATGGCACTCTTGTCTGTTGGGCAGGACAAGTCTTGAGCAAAGGTACAGGAAATAAGCAGGCAGACAGAAGCCAACAAAAACCTAGTGCTGACGACAGACTCTTAAAATATGCACTTAGCCTACCACGTACTGAACATGGACTGGCAGTGCGACGGACTTTTGGCACAGCTAGGTTCAGAGGATGCACTAGCAGTATTTTTTGGGGGGGATCTATACGACAGCTTTCCGCATTTTCAGCCAGAGTGAAACCCGCGGTTCTGCTACGGAAAACGGAATTTTGGAACTCCGTAGCAGCCCCCTCAGAGTTTCAGCTGTGTTTGGGGGAAGGACGTGGTCCTTAAAAGCCGCAGGGAGCCCGGCAAGCGGATGACCCGCAGCGCTTTCTGCCCGGCTCGACTTACGTTCTTTGGAGAACAGCCTCTTCCTCTTGCCTTGCCCGCCGTCCAGGCCCCCGCCGGCTTCTTCCGCGTCTTCTTCAAACTAGACGGGCACAGCGGAGGAGAGGCCGCTGTCAGCGCCCGGGGCGGCAGGGAGACCCCCTAGCCCTTCTTCCCGCCACCCTCCCGCCCCGGCTCGGGGAGA